CGATCTATGCCGATCTATTATTTTTGTCTAATATATGTGTTTGCTCATGTTCTTCATCCCAGCTCCGTTCCTGCCTTGTGCCCCGTGTCTTATCTTTCCCGCCGCTATCGCTTCGTCGGACCACGGACCTCCTCAACTCAACATCACTCGATGCACCCCATTAACTGTTTCTGTGACTCTGTCCCCCTCAGCAACCATCCACCACGACCAGTCCAGGAGTGAATCCCAGCGTCCGCAGCCCGGCCTCCTCCTTATCATCTCATCACTGACTGTATGTTTTCCCATGTCTGCCGCTCAACACCCGGTTCTGCTCCGTATTCCTTCACCTGGTTGTACACATATTTGTTATCATCACTGTAAATAAATTGAGCACTTCTTGCACTGAAGTCAGCTACCTGGGTCTGTCATTTTTTTACTCGCTCACCTCCCTACCAGAGCGATCCTAACATGTTTTGCTGTTGCAAGCATACACCCTATGCTTTTAGCCTACATTAATGCCCTCCCCCTTTGGCTGCTTAAACCCCACAGACATCTGATGGCTGACAGATTGATATATCTGCTACAGCTGTAGCCTCTAGCATAAAAATGCTGAACCCAAGTGCACAATGATCCAGTACATTAGTGAAATTATGCACAGCTAACACCAGGCTGGTGCCAAAAAAAACCCCCACACAACAGTATGGGCATCTGTGCACATCAAACTGCTCAGTTGTAATTCAGAATGCTCCTTATTTATGTGTGAAATTTGAAGTTTAGTCTTACAATTTATATTCTGCCTTTTAATATATATATATATATATATGCCTGTACTATGTAAAGCACTTTGAATTGTTTGTTTATGAAAATGTGTTATATAAATAACCTTAGTTTGAAATCCTGAAATGTATTGGAAATATTTTTGCATGTACAGATCACAATGAAAAATCTAAAGACCTCTCTTGCTCATGTCAACATCTTAAACACGTCACACACATATACAACCAGTCCTACCTCCTTGAGGCCTTTGCAGAACCTGTCAAAGACTCTCTTCATGTTGCCTCCCTTCTCCATGGAGATCACCCTGGTGTGATCCTCCTCATTGACCCAGATCAGGAATGTCTTCTCATTGTTGTGCCTGTACAGAGAAAACTTATATTGAATTATATGGTAAGGATATTGGTACAGGCATTCACAATCTTCATGGTATGAATCCTAACAACCAAATCCCTGATTTTTTTCTATACTGACCTAAGCAAGTAAAAAAACTCCACTACTCACACACTGAAGATCATATAACCTGAAGCAGATAAGTACCATCTAATTTTCAAAGGAAACCTGAATACACGTAAATGTTCTTAGACAAGAATGAATGAACAAATTCCTGCAAATTAAGGTGTAAATACTCACAGTATACAGTATTTTAATTATTAAGCTTTTGACTACCCTCTGACATTGCCTTAAGTGCCACAATAGGGCTATAATTTCCATGTGTAAATAATATAATTTAAAATCTGGTCAGTAAAATATAGTGACATTTGCTGAATGAATTTTGGCTCCACAAAATAAGCATTCAGTGAATCAAGATGAGCCCTGCGATGGACTGGCCACCTGTCCAGGGTGTACCCCACCTCTCGCCCGCAGCTGGTTGGGATTGGCTCCAGCCCCCCGTGACCCCATTTGGGACTAAGCAGTTTAGAAAATGGATGGATGGATGAATCAAGATGGCCCAATGAGCCCTTATAGCACCAGTTTCAGAGCAAACTGTTCACCTTTTCCATGTTAGTCAAGATTTTAAAATGTACAAAGCCACCACCAGGCACTACAGAAGTGTGTGTGCATCCTGACCTCCTTAATATTGTTAGAGATTTAATAAAGTAATGGATAGGTGGAGCTGACAAAAAGGAAATGAGGGCAGGGGAAGGGATGAAGAGAAAAAGCAGAAGAAAAACAGAGCAGCAGTACAGGATATCTGAACGACAAAGAAAAAGAACACAAGGACGGAGTGAAACAATAAAGATGTACTAGCACAGATAAGCAAAAATGAGACAACGTGGCGCATGGCATATGAGTAGTGAGAAAATACAAGGAGAAAGGAGACGTGAGAGCTGCCAGTGGACCTGAAAGAAGAGATGCTGGAGGGATGAAGTGAAGATGAATTATTGAGGAGAGGAGGGTGGCTGACAGGGCTCACAGAGGGAGAGAGGAGGGAGGCTGGCAATCGATTCTGGCTGGCTGACATGTCGCTTTGGACTATTCTTGGGTACACACTAAAAGTCTATGCTGATTTAAAATGAACTTCTATTTTAGTTTTGATGCTCTCGACATTGCAAATCTTAATCATTTAATTCAAAGACTTTAAGATTCAGTTTTCTTAAAGAACATGTTTATATTAGAAGTATTTTTTCAGGAATCCTCTAACCTTTGCTTTTTAATCTGTACATTTACTCTCCTGGCTACATTACTAAAAATGTATGCTTGTGTAAATTCATTTATACTTTAAGTAACAGTTTATAAAATACAGTGAACTGGAACCCTTTAGTGCTATTTAGAATGCTAACCGAAACTAAAAAGCCAGAAAACCTGACTAGTGCAGCTATATCCACATAATATTTCACAGATGATCCAAGAAAGTCTACACTTCTGTAGTGCTCTTGCATTTGTCCTGGATTATCAACGGAAACAACAGACAGGATCGATACATGACTTTTCATTCATTTTCCACACACAGGACTTGCTGCTGCAGAACTAAAGTTTACTGTTCCATTTGTGATAAAATGCACGGGATGTCAGAAATAGGTACCCTGCCATGTTGTCTTTCCTTAAATACAGCCACTTTTCACCTACCAGATACCACGGCCATCTGGCCAGTCACGAGCCATTCCTGCGCATGTCAGCAGGGGTGACACTGGCTTGTCAAACAGGAAGTGGTCCTGTCGTAAACACAGAAAACAAAGGTTTTATATTCAGTGCCAACAATGGCTATGGCTGAAGCTGTGAAAAGTCGGACTTGAAGACAGTACTGTCAGAAACGGCGCGAGATGCGGCTGAAAAGTGTTAGGTGAACTCATTAAATGGCCAGACAAGGAAGTGATGAACAAAACCGTCTCTTTAATAAGAGAACTAACGTAAACAAAAAACCATACAAGACACGGTGAAAACACAAAACTCACATGTCAGTATAACAGTCCAAGATCAGAGCCAGCAAACACATATATCAAGGCAATCCAAAACACGTTGTCCAAAGATAAGTCCGTTAAGCCGATACACATAAGCAGTCCGAATTTAAGAGGGCAAGGCAGAACAGAAAAATCCAAGGAAATAGTCCGGGTCAGAAACACAAATACCAAAACTGAAGATAGTGCTGGAAAGTCAGAGGACTGGGATCTAGAACAATCTGGCAACGTCCTTGTGGGAGGACGCTGCCTAAATAGAGGTGTAAACAGGTGCAAACAATAACGAAGCAGGTGAAACTAATGTGAGTGATGAAGAACGTAAAAAGACCGAAACTAAGGTGAAACAAAGACAAGTAACGTCAAAATAAAAGCCGGACGGGAAGCAGTGGAGCCAAATCATGACAGTACCCCCCCACCCGCCAAGGATGGCTCCCAGACATCCAAACACAAACCAAAACAGGACCAAGCAGGGAGGGAGGAGGGGGCCAGAAAGGAGGGCACGAAGAAAGAAAAACAAAACCCCCCAAAAAAACAAGACAACCACAGGGACCACAACACTGACAAGGGGAACCCGGACCAAACAGGCAAAAGAACAAAAACAGAAAAAACCACCCGAAAAACAAAGTCCTAGTCCATAGGGCGACCCCGAAAAACAGGGAGCCAAGCAGGAGTCTGGGGAGGCCGCTCGGGAGGGTGGCCGCGATGCCAGGCAGGAGTCTGGGGAGGTCGCTCGGATGGGCGACCCCGGGACCAGGCAGGAGACCTGGGCTGCAGCGGCTGCTGGAGGACTGACTGGGACCTGGGCTGCAGGGTTGATGCAGCCTTGGTGGAAGAAGCACAGGCAGGGGCTGCGATGATGGCAACTTCCTCGGGAGCAGGAGCTGGAGCTGGAGGCCAGGCGGCGTCGGCAGCCCCCTCTGGAGCTGGAGG